AAGATCCAAGACCTTACAGAGCTTCAGCGGCTGAGCCCTGGGAGGTAACAGGACAAATCTGGTTGGCTGTGGCTTACGGGGCGAGGGGTAATGGAAGGGGTCCTCCTTGATGTGTGGGCCATGAGGGCTGTGTTGTTTTTTGAGAATTTAGCACCTAATAAAATCAAGCAAGGAGCCGGGCGTGGTGGCGCACACCTGTAATCCCAGCCCTCGGGGAGGCTGAGGCAGGAAGACTGTAAATTCGAGCACAGTTTGGGCAGCTTAACAACTTAGTGTGACCCTGTCTCAAAATAAAAAGTTAAAAAGGGGCTGAGGATGTAGCCCTAGGTTCCATCTGCAAAACTGTGCTGAAAATTGGTCCATTAATCAATCAAATCACCACTTTTTACTGTTCCCATGTGCAGTCAGTTTTAAGCAAGATGGATGATAAAATACTCCTCCTGGGGTTCGGGGTGCTTATCCTCCCTTCTGGAGGGGTTCTCTCCTCACTACTTGGCACACTGCTATCGGTTAGTTACCTTGAGAGTCTCCCTCAAGCTCGGGTCTAGCATATGAAGCCAGATGTGGTGACACATGCCTATAACACCAACTCCTCCAGAGGCTGAGGCAGGAGAGTTACCATTTGAGCCCAGCCCAGACAACTTAGTAAGGCCCTGTCTCAAAAATGAAAAATAAAAAGGGCCAAGGGTGCTGCACACCTATAATCCCAGTACTCAGTGAGGCTGAAGCAGGAAGATTGCAAATTCAAGGTTATCCTGGGCAGTTTCACAATGCAGCAAGACTCTGTCTCAAATAAAAATGTAAAAAGGGCAAGGGATGTAGCTCAGGGTGAAGAGCCTGTGTTCAGCCCCAGTACTACAAAAAAGAAAACACATAAACAAACAAAGGACTGTAGCTTGGGCTTCTTAAGTTTGTTTCCAGTATTGGGGGAAAAAAAATTAGCTTGTAAAGAGAATCGCTGGATGGATATAAACGCAATAGTGTCCGCATTGCTATGCAAGTCTATCCCATGGCGTGGCGTGTGCGTCACTCTGAGCTACATCCCTTTGGCAGAGAAGAATGTAGGACTGAGTCGGGCTGACCTGTGCACTTGAGGAGCCAGCTTGGGACATTTCCAAGCACGGAGACACCGTTGTAGTTGTGCCCCTTTTCAGACAACAGGGGAGCCCTCACGAGGTGCCACCCTCGGCCCAGGCAGGTTCCGGAATGAAGCTCCTCTGCAGGAGCCCAGGAGTGAGGAGCGGAGCCTTGAGCCTGGGAAGAGGGACGCATCCCTGACACACGGCAGGGAGTGCTGGCGCAGCAGGGAAGGGACGGATTTACTGTCCCTCTGCAAACCCTCCTCCTACGTGACTTCAAGCCAGCCGCTGGCCCCAGACTCCCCTGCCACACCTCTGCCTGTCTGCAGCTGGATGGCACAGTCCTTTCTGGGACATTATGTCATGATGCTGCCAGTGACCCTGATTGTCCCCGTTTGACAAGGGAGAGGCCCAGGCTGTTGAACAAGCTGCTCAGGGCCTCGCTGATTAGCAGGGCGCTCTGACGCCAGCCTGGAGACAGGAATTTGGAGTGAGGGGAAACGTTCATTTTCTCCCTTCGCTGTTTTCTGGCAGGAAGTTTTCTCAAGCTTCGCTTTAATGGCAGGTCAGGACCAAGAGTCAAGCTCCTGACCTTTGGAGAGCTCTCTTTGTTTCCTTAGACCACGGATTAGCTGTGGCCTCTTGCCATGGAGAGTAAGTCAGCTTGGCACATGTGTAGCAGTGTCTCAGTGTTGTCATACTGCCTTTTACTGTGGTGCTGGCGATTGAACTCAGGGCCTCGTACATGCTGGGCAAGCGCTCTACCATGGAGCTACATCCCCGGGCCTGCACCCACAATATTTGAACTAGTGTCGGCAATGACTCCTGTGAGAGGTTAGCTAACTCTCCTCTGCTCCCACCCTGAATAACTCCAAATAGCCCTGTCCTAACTCAGAGTGGCCCTTGCTACCCACCCCTTACCTCCTAGCTGGGTGGCTTCTGTGTGGTGGGGTCTCAGCTCCTGGCTCCAGTAATTTTTAAATTCCCTAGGGGAGCTGGATGTGGTGGAGCTAGAAATCCCATTACTGGGGAGGCTGAGGCAGGAGGATCACCGAGAGTTCAAGTGAACTACATAGTGAGTTCAAGGCCTGCCTGAGCTACGTAGTGAGACCCTGTCTCAAAAACAAAACAACACAACATCAACAAAAACCCCTGGGGATTCCATTGTGTGTTTCGCCGACTACTCTAGGATTAGAGTTGACTGATTGCCTAGAAGAGAGAGATTCCCACGTCTGGTTATATGCTGGAAACACAGGGGGTAGGAAGCAGCTGTTAAACTTATACGCCAAATCCTTGGCCGCACATTCCAGACCTCTGAGTCAGCGATCCTGGCTCTGGTGCCTCTGTTCAGCCTAACCTGAGCCTGTAGTCAGTGCTGACTAGAGGCTGACATTGTCAGTATGTCCATTTTGTATAGTAGCCTGGCGGGGAATCGTGATTCCCATTTTACAGATGGAGAAACTGATGCTTGGGTTGTGGGGACTTGGGACTTGGCTTGTGGGGAAGGATCCCTAAGTCCCATAGGCGAGGCCTGTCTGGCCTTGATGCCTGCTGTTGCTGCCTGAATTTGGGGCCTGGCTTGGCGGAAGGCACTCTCTGCAGGGCTTGGGCAGCCTGGAGTGCAGAGGATTCCATGAGTGGCGGTGCCTGGTATGTGGTTCCATCCTAGTCACCCTCCTTAAGTACCTCCTCGTGGGGGAGGAAGATTGGGCCTGGCCCAGCCACCTCTCGTGGGCACGCTGCTCTCACATTGAGAGAATACAGAAAGAAAGAGCAAACACTCATTTGCTTTTTTGAGAGCTTGACGAGTTTTTCAGGCGTGCAATATGGAAAAATGCCCCTGCTCCCCTCTGAGGGAGATGCTTCATCCAGGTGACCCCAAAATGTTAGCTCAACATTGCAAAACTGCTTTTGCCCTGTCACAGGTCCTCGTGTACTCAGCGCAGGCTGGGGCTGAGAGCTGGGGGATTTGGGTCACTCATCCCAGCCCCACGCCACCACCTGTGCCCTCTGTCACGTCACACACATCACCGATTGTCCTTAAGCTTTGCTTTCTCCGTCAACCAAGGAGAAACTTGCAGGCCACAGGGACTCCGAGACGCCGGCCCCTCCAGCGGCCTCGAGGTGTCAGAAGGAGAGGAGTGTGGCCGGCCTATTGCTAAGATTCACAGTGTCTGGGACCAGGAGCTTTGTCAAGTGTTTGCTGGCACCCACTCAGGTACCCGATGTCCCCGAGGCTAAAGTGGCTCCAAGTGGCCATCTGTGTCGGAGATCGCGGTGAATGTGTACTGTCTGGCGTCACCCCGCCTGCGTCAGCGCCTAAGGTGTGAACAGCTCACAGCCAGTATTGGGCTAAGGAGAGAAACTGTAGAGTTGGTGGACTGTGTGATCTGCTTTAGGCTCCAGAAAGCCTTCCCTCCCCAGCCCAGCGTCCAGGGACCTCTTCCTCCCCAGAGCTCCCCATGCACCTGTCCTCTGCGCCTTTGTCCCCACCCCTCGTGCCCAGCAAGCACAGATGCTGCACAGTGATAAACGGCCGGGGTCGGGGTATGCAGAGATGCACAGATCCGGGTGTGGCAGCCTCTGCAGAGCGCCTGCCGCAGAATGCTGTTAGAGTGTTCGTGTGTCTGTCCTTTGCCTGCTCAGCTTGACTTCCTTGTTGTCACTCGGCTTGTTTGGAAGGCCGTGGCACTGAGGGGTATTATAAGAATAGAATGCTTAGGTGCAGGGCCATTTTCTGAAGTTAAGAGGAATATCCTGAGGATCTTATCATGTAGAGCTTTTATCCTGGAGCCGCTTTGAGAGCACATCTGAGGTCTGGAGTCTGGTGGCCCCTTGTAAAGCTCTCTGAGTTAGTTGCCCCGGCCCTGGTCATGGGGGTAGCAGTGTGGAAGGACAGCACGGGGACCTTCAGGAGCGGTGGCCACTGGCAGTGTCCCGAGACTCAGACCTGCCCTGCTTGTGTCCTGCACAGGATGGAGGGGCGACCCCACCGAGACCATGGGGATGGTCTTTCCTGGAGCTCTCAGAGAGCTGGCTCAGGGCTGCCTGTCCCTCCAGCAGGGTCACCATTTTGTGGTCACTGTGTTGGTCCCTGGACAGGAGGAGTCCGAGGCCCAGCCCTGACACTGGTGCCCACAGGGGCTTGGCAGGGTCTGAACCCCTGTAGTCATCAATGAGCCTTGTGGACAGCAGGCTGCGCAGCGGGCTTTGAGGCCTGGCTTTGCCATTAACATTGTGATGACCTCCGACAAGTCATCTGACCTTTCCTTGGGCCTCAGTTTCCTAATTTCACAACTCTGGGTCATACTGTGCGAACTTCCCACTACGATGATTGATCTTATCATCCTCCCTCCCCACGTCCCACCCCAATCAGGACCCCAGCAGCCGGGCTTGCTGTGGACATGGTGACTTAGACTTGGGTTCCAGCTGAGGCTTTGCAAGAACACTGCTGTGTCATCCTTGTCAAGCCAGCACTTTCCAGCGCCTCAGCGTACACCACAAGGGGAATCACAATGTTAACGTCCATTCCAAGCTGGCTGTGGTGGTGCATGCCTGCAATCCCAGCACTCGGGGAGGCTGAGACAGGAAAATCACCAGTGTGAGCTGGGGCAACTCACTGGCCCTGTCTCAAAATAAAAAATTAAGAAAGGGGTTGGGATGTAGCTCAGGGGAGACCCTGGGTTCAGTCCCCAGTACCACAAAACAAAACAAAGCAAACCCAGATCCATTCCTGTAAAAGATAAAGGGTTCCTATGGACAGAAGAGGAAATCGGCGCCGGTTGCATCTCGGTCAGTGGTTGTCATCCCAGTGGAGATGCTGGTCGGTGGCACTATTTCCTATCCCAGTAGGATGGCTCTGTAGCTGGCCGTGGGGGTCACTCCCCAGGGCCCTAATCGTATAGGTCTGTGTCCCCACAGCGGCCAGTTTGCCATCGTGAAGAAGTGCCGGGAGAAGAGCACAGGGCTGGAGTTCGCGGCCAAGTTCATCAAGAAGCGGCAGAGCCGGGCCAGCCGGCGGGGCGTGTGCCGGGAGGAGATCGAGCGGGAGGTGAGCATCCTTCGGCAGGTGCTGCACCCCAACATCATCACGCTGCACGACGTCTACGAGAACCGCACCGACGTGGTGCTCATCCTCGAGCTGTGAGTGGGTGCCCGGGACCCGTGGGTGGGGGGTAGGAGGGGCCAGCAGGGCGCTGGCGCCAGGGGTGGCTGAGCTGAGCCCTGTTGTGGGCAGTTTCCTTCTGCCTCGGCTGCCTCCATCCTCCTTTTGGAACTGGCTGGAGGAGGGCCGAGCTTGCTGCACGGCAGGACAGAGGGTGCCGGTCTGTCTGGCTTCCATTAGACCCCGGGGATCGAGGGGAGGAGGCACCTGGCACTGGGTGATTTCCTGGCTGGAGGAATGTGTGAGAGGAGGGTGAGGTGGAGGGTGGGTTGGGGAGCAGAGGCAGCGTCCCAGGGGGCTCTGGTCTGTGGAAGGAAGCGGGTGCTGTCCTCTGAGCTCTGCGTGACCTTCCTGAGCCCTTTGCTGGGGACGGTCCACTGCATTTGTGCTATCTGATCCCTTTATGACCACAGCGATCACTGTGATTTAAGGAGCCAGGCATTTGGGAGGTGCATTACATTTGTCCCGTTGCCGAGCCCTTGCCGTGACTGTGATGAGGGAAGCGTCTTACTACCCCGGAGAGATTATTTTATATTCACTGTGCGGAGCACTTCGATTAGCTTACTTAATCTTTGTCACAGTGCTCTTACAGAGACGCGCAGTGTCTCCATCGTAAAGACTGGATCCCAAGACGCCAGGTTGCTTGTCGGGTCCTGTAGCCAGGCCTGGAGACCACGTGGCTTGTGCAGATAGCTGTGGGCATGAGGCGGGAGAGCCTTGTTGTGGCCTAGCTGGAGGGCATGTCACAGCAGTTGGGAGAGTCTGTACAGGGGACACCAAGACTCAAGGGGTTGATCCTCCCGAAGGCATCTCCAGGGGTGGGCAGGAGGACACACAGTAGAGTCTGAGTTGGCCTGTGGCATAAGTCACAGTGACTGTGTCCTATCAGCAGCAGGACCGGAAATAAGAATGTCCCTGAGTTTTGCAGGCATGAACGCATCTGCCAGTTAGCAGGCAGAGGTGGCAGGTGTCTTAGCAATCCCTAATTTTGTGACCTTGGGCAAGTCACTAAGTCCTTGCGTTTAGGTCTCACCGCTAAGCCAGGCAAGCTGTCTTTGATCTGCCTATGGATCATTCTAATCTAAAAACTGTCCTGATATTGGCAAGATACTGATTTAAGCAACAGTGGCGCATTTGCATATCTTCCATTTGATTCTTACATTATCTCCATCCCAATGTTTAAATGCATAGAATTGCCCTGCTCTGCCCGTGTCCCGCATTTAGTGTCCTCTTTCTGCCTGGATCTCCTGCCCTTTAGACAACTGGTGCCCACGCCTGCCTGAGCTAGACAAAACCTGACGGGCAGCCCAGTGCCACCTCCCGAGGCCAAGAAACAACAGTTGGCACCCGATTCCCAGCAGAGCAATAAGCTTACCTTCCTGGAAAGGCTAGGGCTACATCTTTAAAACGCTATGCTCAAAACTGTCCCCACCCCCCAAACAAAATAACAATAAAAAAGAAACCTTCTCAGGAACTGTCAAGAAATTACAGGTATTCATAATCGCACACTCCAAACACAGCTACTTATGTTTTTCTGCGGTTCCTCTAAATCCTTACATATTTGTATACAATTGTGCCGTATAATTTCCTGCTCTACTTTTTCCTTGAAATTAACAAAACTCCACAAATAGCCTTTTTTTTTTTCTTTTAAATGATTATATCGTTTCATTGAATTATAAACCAGTATTTCCCACTGCTGGACATTTGGTTTTTATTTTCTAAGCTTTTAGCCATTCCAGATTTTACTACAGATAAAACAACTTTGTTCCCCTGAGTTTTCCCTTTGCTTTTTTTTTTTTTTTTCCTTTTAAATTCTCCTTTGCTTTTGAGCTGGCTGCTTCGGAGAAATGCCCTAGAGTGGGAGGACCAGGTCAAAGGCTGACACTTTCAGGCTTTTTTATATCCTGTTTTCCGAAGGATGGAGTTGGTTATCCAGCACCACCCACGACACAGGAGTGTTCCTGTTTGCCTGCAGCCTTGCTAGCCCTGGGTCTTTTGTTTTAAAACATGTTTCATTATTTATTCATCTTTACAGTGATAAATTCATGCTTTGTTGTTGTACTTGGACTTTCTTTCATTCCTGGGGAAACCACCTGCTCTCCCTGTTTGTAGGGCGCTGGCTCATTTCTCCCAGCACAGCTCTCTGTCAGCCAATACTTACGTGGCCTCTTCTTGGGACTTCTTGGGACTTGGGACTTGCTGGATTCTCTCTGTTCAGTTTCTGTCTCCTCCACTCCCAAGTTGTCGTATTGCTCCCAGGATCCTTGTCTGTGGAGTGCTAAGGATTTACGAGATGAAAAAGACCCAAGTTTGTGAAGACTGTACCTAAACCATGTATTGGCAGGACTGAGGGTTAGGACTTCTCGAGAGAGGAGTCCCTGGGCTTTTGTGTATGGATTGGTGACTCCTCTTGGGCCGACCAGGAGCCTTTGGCTTCTGGATCCTCATGTGTCCTCATAACTTAGCAGGTTTGCTGTGGAGCTGAACCTGGTGTTGTGTCCACCTGCACGGCTGCAGGTTTGATGGCTGAGCCTGCCCTCATCCCACTCCCCGCTCGGCAGCTGTGGTCTGGTGCAGGGCTTCCTCCCGGTTTCTGCTCACGTGGCCAGTCCTAGGAGGACATGCCCAGCCCTGACTCAAGCTCCTTTCTGCTGTCATTATTCTACCCGTGACCTCCTTAGAAGGTGCTATTTCTCGTCATGGCTGTTGAAGGCAGAGTTGGGGAGGATTTGTAGTCATCCACATAGGTTGACTTCTGTATGGTAGAAAGAATATATTCAAATGTTAGCAGATTAACTAGTGTCTGACCTGGAGCTTGCCGTGAATGATGTACGTCTGCCTTGCAAGACAGCTCCCACCGCAGCCCCGACAGCTCTGGGGTGCCCTTGGCTCGGAGGCTGTGGAAAGTAACACCCTGGCAGCTGTATTTCAGAGAAGGCCACGCACAGTGCTGGAGGGTGGCTGCTATGAGCTGAGTCTGGCTTCCCTGCCCAGCAACCCAGGTCTCCCCATCACTGCCTGCTCCACGGGTCTGTGCACACATTCCTGGGGGATCTCAGAAACCCTTCAGTGGGAGGACCAGCCTGCAGGGAGCAAGGGGATGAAGGTCAGGTGAGGAGGGAGGGGTGATCCCGGGACGGCTAGGAGAAAAGAGGAGGCCAGGCTGTCAGGGCCAGACTTTCATAGTAAGCTAAAGAGATTTAGAATAAGAAAAGAGAACACTGCAAGGAGAGAAATGACTTTTGAGCAGAGGTCTTAGAGCTGAGTAGCCCTTGCAGGAAACTATGTTGTCTGTAGTCCCAGCTATACAGGAGGCTGAGGTGAGAGGGTCCCTTGAGCCTTGGAGTTTAGGACTGTACTGAGCTGTGGGTGCCCAAGCTAGGTATCAGGAGTGGGGTTGTGCCAGTGAATAGCCACTGCGTACCAGCCTGGGCAACACAGCCAGACTTGTGTCTGGGGATTGAAAACAGGGCCTTGCACATGCTAGGCAGGAGCTCTACCACTCAGCTGTATCCCTGGCATAAATCCCTGTCTCTAGAGAGAGGGAAAGACTGTGCTAGTGCTGTTTTAGAAGAAGGAAAAGGAGGAGAGGCAGGAAGAAAGTGAGAGGAAGGAAGGAAGAAAGAAAGAGAAAGAAAGAAAGAGGGAGAGAAAGAAAAGAGAAAGAAAGAAAGAGGAAAGGAAGGGAAAGGAGAAAGGAAAGAAGGAACTATGTAGTAGGAAAAAGAAACAAAACCTAGTCAACTTGCTGGACTTTGTGCAGAGGCAACTAAGCACTGACATGACTGTCCCCGGCCAGTGTCCCGGCTAGTGCAGCCTCTCACCTTTCTCTCTGGGGGACAATCCAAGGCCCACAGTGGCTGTCCCTTGCTTCATCCCAGGAAACCGTGTCTCCCCAGGTCTCTTCCCAGATCACACCTTCAAACACATGGCTCACTGCTGCCCGCCAAGCCCTCACCCGGCCCAGCTTTCATGTCAGTGGCTTTGGCTGACAGGGTGGCTGCTCATTAGACTATCATCTTTTCTATGTATGTGATATTTTATTTAAGGCAGGCCTAGTAGGGTTACTATTTTAGCCTGAGAGATGTCCCTGAGGTTGCAGCCTTCTACCACCTGGCCTGGGGCTGGGAGGAAAGGACAGGGTGTGACTGGGGTCCCTGTGTTTGTGAGGTGGCACCATGGATTTGAACACTGGCAAAGCACTCCAGATAGGCTGTGCCCGTGCCAGGCTTCACCATCTCACGATCTCTTACATGGTTGTGTCAATATTTTTCCATATCTTATTGATATTTTTAGTATTTCACTTCCTTTGTTCTTTTACTCACTAAAGTCTGAATAGCTTTCACACGCTAGGTCCTGTGGAAGCAAAAGGGATGCAGCTGGGGAGACAGACAGGTCCTAAAGCCCAGAGCGAGGAGGCACAGAGACTGCTAAACAGGACTCTCGGCCCTTCCCCCCAGGTTGGGGTGCTGCGGGCCATTCCTTCCATTTTGTTTTGTTGTTTTGTTGAGACAGGGTCTCGCTATGCAGCTCAGGCTGGCCTTGAACTTCTGGTGATCCTCCCGCCTCCCGAGTGCTGGGACGACAGGCGTGCACCGCACGACACGGCATGAGCCGTTCAGCCATTCAGCCGTTCCTTTCTGCAGCAGCTCAGATTTTGTGTCATGAAAGGCCGTGAAGACAGAGACACCCTTACTAACCGTGTGACCCTGGGCAATCACTTGCTGTCTTGGGAATCTCCATTTCATCTTCGGGCGAATGCGGACAGAGGTTCCACCTGTACCCCTGGGGCGTGGCAGGACTGAAGTGAGACGAGGTCTGGGAAAGCGCGTGGGGTGGTGGTATTCACACCAGGGCCTGGCGAGGCCCTTGGAGCTCTGGTCTCAGGTCACAGGAAGAGCTCCCACTCCCGCCCCCACCCGCGGGCAGGGATGAGACTTGTGGTTTTCTCACTCATGTTTCACAAGAAGCAAAGCGC